CTCCGCGGCACTCTGTGCCGCCGCCCGCACCCGACCGCCCGCTGTTTCCGCCGCCTCGACGATCTTTTTTCGTCGTCGCTTTGGCCCGGCCCCGGACCTCCCTGACTGGCACAGCCTAGCTCCGCCAGGGCGTGCCGATCTTTGAGTTAGACATGGATCAGATAGGTGCTGCTTTGCATGCTTTGTATGCTGACGCTTCTAGTGTTGCTGGATCTTACTACCCTGTGTACTCTAGTTTAGGTGTTTCACCCTTGTGTAGCTTAGCTTCCCCTGCTGCGACAGGCGTAGGACTGCCTAGGTTGCCTAGTCTAGTCGCTGCACCGGCTCCGTCCCCGGCCTCCGCCACTGCGTCGCTGTCCTTCACTCTCGACTCTGGTGCTTCTGCCTGCTTCTTCCGCGACCGTTCCACGCTCACGCCGCTTGCTGCACCTGCTGTTGTCTCTCTCGCTGACCCCTCTGCGGGTCCGGTCGTCGCGCGCAGTTCTACGTCCCTTCCTTGTCCGGCAGTTCCCTCGGGCTCCCTTACTGGCCTCCACGTTCCCTCGTTCTCCAGGAACCTGGTTGGTGTCGGCTGTCTCCAGGACCTCGGCGTCACCACCACGTTCCCCGGGCACGAGCGGTTCGCTGTCTGTTCTGAGGCTGTCTCAGGTTCCCCCCTTGCGACGTTCCCCCGGGACCCGGTGTCCGGTCTGTTTACCCTACACACCGCTTCCCCCCCGGTTGGTGCGTCCTCCCAGGTCGCTGCAGCTTGCTCGTGTCGGTCCCTCACTCACCCCTCCCTTCTCTGGCACCACCGCTTAGGTCACCCTGCTCTCCCGCGTCTGCGTCACATGTCCCAGCACGGTCTTGTCTTAGGTCTCCCCGCGTCGCTCCCTGCCCTTCCTCCCTCGACTGCGCCACCGTGCACGCCTTGCGTCGAGGGTCGGCTCCGCCGTGCTCCTCACTCCTCCTCGCTGCGTCCTGCTACTGCCCCCCTTCAGACCCTGCACTTGGACGTTTGGGGCCCTGCCCCCGTCCCCGGACCGCGCGGTGAGCGCTACTTCCTTGTGCTCGTCGACGACTACACGCGCTACACCACGGTGTTTCCCCTGGAGCGGAAGGCCGACGTGCCCGACGTTCTTCTCCCGTGGTTGTGGCTGCGCGTCTCCACCGCGGTCTCCCCGTGTTGTGTCTCCACTCCGACCGTGGCGGCGAGTTCGCCTCTGGTCGGCTTGGACAGTTCTGTCGTGCGGAGGGCATCACCCAGTCGTACACGTTGCCGGACTCGCCACAGCAGAATGGGGTTGCTGAGCGCCGCATCGGCTTGGTCATGGAGGTCGCCCGTACCTCCATGATCCATGCCGATGCCCCCCATTTTCTGTGGCCGTTCGCTGTTCGCTACGCGGCTCACCAGCTTAACCTGTGGCCACGCTCCCAGCGGCCGCAGGTTTCGCCGACCCTCCTTTGGACCGGGTCCCCCGGTGACGCGTCTGCGTTCCACGTCTGGGCTGCCTTGCTCACGTTCGTGCCTCTGGCACGGACAAGCTCACTGCCCGCACTGTCCCCTGTGTCTTCCTCGGTTTCCCCCTGGACTCGTCTGACTGGCTTTTCTACCACCCGCCGTCTCACCGCTTCCTCCACTCTCGTGACGTCACCTTTGACGAGTCCGTCTCCCTTCTACCGCCGCTTCCCTCACCGAGGTCTCCCAGTTGCCCCCCCCCTTTTCCTTGCTCCCTCTCCCCGGTAGCCCCTGCCCTCTCCCGCCTCGTCCTGCCCCGTCTGGTGTCTCCCACGTCACTCCCCTCCCGTCGGTTGTCCCCGTTGAGGAGTCTGCTGACTCTGGTGGTACCCCCGGTCCGTCCTTGCAGCGTCCCCCTTCCCCGGTGCCTCCGCCCCCACTGTCGCAGTCGCCGACCCGCTGCCGCCGCCGTCGCCGTCGCCGCCGCAGCCGTCGCCGCTGTCGTCGCCGCCGCCGCCGCTGTCGCTGCCGCAGCCGTCGCGCTGTCGCCGCCGCCGCAGCCGTTGCCGCCACTGCCGCCGCTGCTCTCGGCCCCTGGGGGTGCTGGTGTGGAGGAGGGTGTTCGTCCTGCGGCTTCTGGGGGTGCCGCTGGTGTTGGAGGGGGTTCTCGCTCTGGGGGTGTTGGTTCTGGGGGGTGCTGCTGTTGAGGTGTTCTGGCGACGGTCGTTCTGCCTCTGCTGGTCCGAGAGTTCCGGCCCAGCCGTCGTCGCCGCCGCAGCAGCCGTCGCCGCCGGTTTCCGCTCTCCGCCTGCTCGGCCTTCCCTCCCCGGACCGCGCGCCGGTGTCTCCCCCACCGCCTCCTGACCTTCCTGGTCTACGGTCCTGTGTTCCCGCCGCCAGACTCGTCTCCGGCCCGTCTTCCTCCTCGTTCCCCTCCTGTGTCTCCTCCGCTGTCCCCTGACCCTACCCCTCCGTCTCACGTTTGGGCTCGCCGTCCCTCCCGTGCTCGTCCCGTCTCTCCTGTCCTGCCCACCCACCCTATGTTGCTCCGTTCCCACTCGTCTCGTCCTCCCCTCCTCCCGTTCCCCTCCTCCCTCGTCCCTTGCTGTTGCACCTCCTCCGTTCTCTGACTACCTCCGTGCTGCTCGTCCCCTTGTCCCTCGGGTCCTTGCCTCTCTTGTTACCGACCCTGCTGTTCCTGTCTCGCGCCTTGACGCGCTTGTCGCTGCTGTCGCTGACTTCGCCTCTACCCGCCGCCTTGACTACGCTACCGCTCTGGTCTCTGACCCTGCCCGTCCTCTGTCCGTCGGGGGTGCTCCTGCCCTTGGCAGTGACGTCCTAGAGGACAGGCAGTACGAGCTGGCTTTCCTTTCCGAGGCTGCTCCCCATCTCTGCTCCATGCTGTTAGTCCCTGAGGGTGACCCAGACGCCTTCGACATCCCGACCCCTCGCACCTACGCTGAGGCCACCTCGGGACCTTGGGCCTCTCAGTGGATAGCTGCCATGGAGCAGGAGATGGCATCTTGGAGATCCACCGGCACTTACGTCGACGCAGTTTGGGGTGAACGTAGTCGATGGTCGGTGGCTCTTCAAGGTGAAGCGCCCCCCTGGAGAGCCGCCTGTCTTCAAGGCGCCGCTACGTGGCCAGAGGTTTCAGTCAGCGCGAGGGGGTTGACTTCTTCCAGACCTTCGCCCCGACCCCGAAGATGACCCACTCTTCGGGCGCTGCTACACGTAGCAGCACAGCGTGACTACGAGCTTCACTCCCTCGACTTCTCTACTGCCTTTCTTCAGGGCAGCCTACACGAGCAGGTCTACTGCGCCGACCACAGGGCTTCACTGGTACCTTCCCTCCTGGGACCCAGTGGCTTCTCAGGGCGCCCGGTCTACGGCCTGCGTCAGGCTCCCCCGCGAGTGGCACGACACGCTACGTGCCACGTTAGCAGACCTGCAGTTCTTTCCGTCCTCTGCTGACCCTTCACTGTTTGTGCGTTCCGGCCAGACTCCGTTCTACATCCTTGTCTACGTAGACGACCTGGTCTTCGCTACTCCTGACAGGGACGCACTGGCCTCTGTGAAGGCTGAGCTGCTGAAGAGACACACCTGCACTGACCTTGGAGAGCTGCGTCGCTATCTTGGCCTGCAGATCTCTAGGGACAGAGCAGCACGCACCATCACTCTGACCCAGTCACACTTGGTGCGTCAGGTCCTTCAGAGGTTCGGTCTTCAGTTCTCCTCTGCACAGCCCACACCTCTACCCGTAGACCATGGCTCTCTGCTCCCGTTCCTGAGGAGCCAGTAGAGCCCAGTGGCCCCTACGCAGAGCTGGTGGGTTGCCTCATGTACCTGATGACTTGCACTCGCCCAGATCTCGCATACCCTCTCAGCATCCTGGCTCGCTTTGTGGCTACAGGCAGACACCGACCTCAGCACTGGTCTGCCGCTAAGAGGGTTTTGCGTTATCTTGCTAGTACATCAGGCATGGGGTTAGTGCTAGGAGGACGCAGGCCAGTGGTCCTTACTGGACACACAGACGCTTCTTGGGGCAGACGACGCTGAGACGCTCAGGTCGTCGCAGGGCTACTGTTTCAGCCTTGGTTCGGGTGCTATCTCTTGGAGATCCACTCGCTCGTCGTCTGTGGCTCAGTCTAGCTGTGAGGCTGAGATCTACGCTGGTGCCATGGCGGCACAGGAGCTCCGCTGGCTGACCTTCTTGCTCACAGACTTAGGTGAGCGGCCTAGCTCTGCCCCGGTCCTGTACGCTGACAACAGGGCCATGATACTCCTGTGTCAGGAGCCTCGGCTTGAGGGCAGAGCGAAGCATATCCAGCTGCGGTACTTCCTCCTGCCGCGAGCTACAGCAGCGCCGCCAGGCCCGCGTAGTTTCACTTGGCCTCAGGTGCCAACACAGCTGATATCTTTTACTAAGGCCGCTTGCGCCTAAAGATCATCAGCGGCACTGTGTACAGCTTGGTCTTGTTCCTGTAGCTGCTCCCCTGTTAGGATCCTGATTGTGTACTCTCTATTATATATGGCTTGTCAGACTGGCCTTGTGGCCTTACCTCCAGTGGCTGGACTAGTAGTGCCACCCTGGCTTGCTTCAGTTTTGGTTGTATTCTTGCTGACTGGTCTCCAGACCCCTGCCTCAGTGGTTGGACTAGTAGTGCCGCCCTGAGCTGTATGCTTCTTGTTTAGTTTCACCCCTTGTCTAGCCTAGGGGGGTGTGTCAACTTATACATATTATCTATGTAGAAGTTATAGGCTAGACTGAGGTATGCTTCTAGTGAGTACAACCAACTAGTATTTGTTCTAGGTTTCCACCTCTAGTAATTATTCGTTTCTACGTTAACAGAAAGAGTGGTTTATCGAGTCGCACAGCGACTCGATTGTCTGTTCTGTTACCATCCTTGCAGTTGTAACGGTCAGTCCGCAACCTCCGGTTGCGACCCTTCGAGTCCTTTCGTGTTCTTTGTCCATCCCCTCGGTGTAACCTCCGTTGACTCGCGTACCCGTTACGACTTTCCTCGGGTGTAGTGTTACACTTCAGAAACGCTTAAGTGCTTGAGGTATTTCCAACAGGGTATAATGTACTTTCACCCCAGTACAAAAAAATATCAGCGATTTTTAGGACTGCAATAAAATCAACCATAATGATTCCCATAACTCGGGAAAATAAGGCAAAACAGCAATCCTACTCATTCGAACGACGCCTACTGAGCAACAGACACCTTCCGCTTCACCTTGCGCTTCGTCGTGCGAGCTGCACCTGCTGTCCCTTGCACCTTCTCCGCTCCCTCTACACTCGACGCACCAGCCTCTGCCCTGTCTCTGCCCCTCCTGCAGCAGCAGCAGCAGCAGCAGCCTTAGCCACTCTCCGTGCAGCACTCTTCTTCTTAGGCTGTGTTGCTTCCTCAGTTTTCTTTCCAAAGGGCAGTGATTGCAGGAACGAGTTCTTCTTAGCACCGGCACCGGAGGAGCGGGAGGGGCGGCGGTACGCCTGCTGCTCCGCCTTGGCCTGTTGCTGCGCCTCGCCGTCCATCCCCAGCCACATCAGCCTAGACGGCTCGCCCAATAGCACGTTGCCACACCTGCGGAAGATGGGGAGGGAGGTCACAGCAAAAAAACCATTAGTTAAAAAAAAAAAAGACCACTTCACCTTGGTACACTGGCTGCTCACTAACATTGCGTGTCCCCTCGCCATTGCGTCCAACAACCTCACTCACTCTCCACGTTTATAAAACGACTCTGCAAACTAAATTCCTTTGCAACCCACCAGAGCGTGGTGGTTCCAAGGACAGTGACGGGGATGTGGTTCAAGTGCTGCTGCAGCATGCGGTCAAGTCCGTACACCAGTTGGTACCGCAGGCAGGTTGCCCGGCAGCCCTACGTGTGCTACCTGTGACCACTAACAACCCACCTGAGTGCAGTGGTCCCAAGCACAGCGATGGGGATGTGGTTGAAGTGCTGCTGCAGCATGCGGTCCAGCCCGTACACCAGCTGGTACCGCAGGTTGCCTGACAGCCCCGTGTGCGCGCCGTAGGCTGCCGCACTCGTGCTGGCTGATGGCACCACCACCGATGGTTGGTAGCCCTCCTTGCTGCAATGGGGATGACGGGGGGAAGGGCGGGTTGAAATGGGAGAAGTGAGGGCGAGGGGGGGTGGTTGTGGGGGTGGGGGTGGGAAGGTGGGAGGGGAAGGGTGTGGCAGAGGGGTGGAGCAAGTGGGGGTGGGAAATGGTCAAGCAGAGGCAATGGAGCAAAAGGGACTACAAGGGGACGAGCGCAAGGGAAGTGGCAGCTCACCCCTTGGAAGCAGCCGAAAGAATGCTGTTGGACACCAGCCCCCCCACGGCCCCGACAGTGGACCCCACGAGGCTCAGCTTCGCCGCGTTGAAAAAGAAGCTGCCCGCGCGGGCGGGCAGGTTAAACTCTCGCAGCGGGTAGCTCTTGTCAAACATGTTGTTGGGCAGCTTCTGCAGAGCCATCTGCCACTCGGAGGTGGCCGTGGAGCCGTAGGAGCGCGTGGGGGAGAGCGACCAGACGACAGCTGCGTTGCACAGGGAGAGCGTGAGCACGTTGGCCACGGCGAAGCCCCACTCGTCCTTCAACCTGTGGGGGGGACGGCAGCGGGATGGTTGCAGCAGGATCGGATCCAGATTCGGTGGGGACGGCCAGGAAAGCATGACAGTTGGACCCAGGGCGGTACTCAGGTAACATTGGGTCGACAACCAGACTGGACCTAATCCCACACTGCCTCCACAATGATCAAAACCCCATGCCCGCTAGAATCACTCCCTCACCTGTCGCCGCGCTGCAAGTCCTCCCACCATGCGGACGAGCCGATGGTGACGGCCTGCTCCAAGAGATGAACCTACCCCGTTGCTCATCTGAGTCGACTCTAAAGTCGACCCTACCTAAGCTTGGCGGCCTGCACCGTTGCTCACCTCTCCCCTCGCTGCTTGACCTCCCACCACGCGGACGTGCCGATGGTGACGACCTGCTCCAACAGCAGCTTGTAGATGAACGCCGGATCTGCCATCATGCTGGCAAGAGAAGAGGGGGGGGGGAAGAGAAGGGGGGGAAGGGGTGGGAAGGGAGAGGGGAAGGGGAGAGAGGAAGGGGGGAGGAGGAAAATTCAACGTCAACTCGATCCCCCCTTCAATACAAGTCAAACGGGCGAATCAAGGCAAGCAGCTCCCGCCCACTCACTCAGAATCCCACACCCTCTCCCCTTCCCCTTTTCCTTTCGCCCTGCCCCAAACCTCTTTCCTTTCCTCCCAAACCATTCCTTTGTTTCTCCCAGTCAGCACGACTCGCAGGGGGGAGCACTCACCGGCCGACGAACGCGCGCGAGACCTCGGCGGGCGTGGCGCGGGAGACGATGCGCGCAATCGTGGGACGCGCGTCGATCGACATGAACCGCGCGATCTGCGCCGAGCTCACCAGACCCTGATATGAGGAGGGAGCGAGCGACGGAAGGACGCGGGCGGGGAAAAAGATGGGGGGCGGGGGGATGGGGAGGGGAGGAAGGGGGAGGGGTGGAAGAGGGAGACGCGGTGAGGTCCGCGTCATGGCCCTGTCTCCGATCCGGCGATCTGCGTTGAGCTCACCGGACCCTGGTGGGAAACGAGGGCGGGAAAGGGAGGGAACAAGGCGCGGAGGCACGCGGTGGGAACAGGAAAAGACGGAGAGATTCGCGTCCATGGACATGAATCGCGCCATCTGCGCCGAGCTCACCGCGCGCTGATGGGAGGAGGGAGAGGGGGATTAGTGGCCGCGGGGAAGGAAGAACAGGAAAAGCCAGAAATTTCTGCTACCATGGGAGCTTCTGATTTGGTGACGAACTGAGCTGAGCTCAGGCCACGACGGAAGACAAGTCAAGATTCGGAGGCAGCCGACGGTGAGTGAAGATACGAACTCTATGAATGGGAAAGCGGCGTGAATGGCGGGGACAGAGGGGCGGAAGGGGAAGCGGGTGCGCACCCTTGAAAGCAACGGCGGGGCGGATCTGAAAAGCCTGATCTGAGCCAAGTTCAACGCTTCCCGTCCCTTCCTCCCATTGCGTCCCCAAACCCCCCTTTACTAAGTCCCCGTCTGCTTCACTACGGCCGGCAAGTATGTACCATTTCAACGGCTCGTCTGATGCCGGCCGGCAGGTCCGCCATGCTTCGGAACCACTCCTGCAGCACCGCCTCCACCGACGCCCGGTCGAACACCTGCCGGGGTAACGCAGGCAGAGACAGACACAACAGACAGGAGAATAACAGACTTTCTACATCAAAGCTGAGCGGATGCTTCGAAACCCGTCCCGCAGCATCGCTTCCACTGATGCCACGTCGAACACCTGTCGCAGCGGCAGAGCACGCAAGGCACGCAAGGCCGGGAAGATGCAGGCAAAACGGACCGAGCAGACAAAACTGTCCATAGAATGGCATTCAATACTCAGGCGATGCTCGTCAGCAAGAAAACGGAACAATTGTGGCAGAAAAGTGGCAATCGAAGAGCATGGCTCAGTGCTCACCTCTGAGATGATCGCTCGGCGAATGAAACCGTCGTCGTCGCCATCGTCGCCGTCGTCCTCGCCGAAGTAATCGTCGTCGTCGCCACCATCGTCGCCGCCGTCGCCTCCGCCGTGCGAATTGCCCTTACCGACGTTACCACCTCCACCACCCAGGTCAATCTGACCTCGTAACAAGGACACACACATCAAAGAAACCACACATATCAGTCAGCATGATGTGAGCTTCCGTCACAAACATCCACGCCAAACCCTAGAACGCTCGGAAGAGACGGAGAGGACGCGACAGAAAGAAAAAGCTAACATTTTCTCAGCTTGCGAGGAGCACCTGAGGGTGGTCTTGGTGGCGGAGAACGAGAGGTCGAGCTTCGACTTCTCGAGCGTGGCTCCGCCGCCGCCGAAGGCGCCGTAGCCCTTCTTCATCATCGGCACCATCATGCGACCCGACGGCATCGGCGGGAAGTCGTCCGACGACCCCTGCTGCCCCTGATCCTGCTCGCCCGCCAGCCCCGGCCCTCCCGCTACCACTCTAAGACCCCGCTTAGCCGTGGAGGTAGGGTTTGAAAGGCAGAGGGAGGATGAGGAAGGAGTGGCGGTGGCGGCGAGTTTGGCGTTAGGGAAGGCATCGCATCCGGAGAGGAATTTGACGGAGGATAGTTGCGAGGAGACGCATGGCTCTTGGGGGAGCAAGCCGGAGTGCTTGCTCAACGACGCGTGTGCGTGCGTCTGGAGGAGACCTGCTGAAGTCGTGGTGGCCATCGCGGGCTGATTCACCAGAACAGCTAGTTCTCTTGCGGGTAAGCTGACACTAATTCGCGAAAAATACGAAAATGAACCGGCTGCGTTCTCGACGAGAAGGCTGAGCCGCGTTCGGAGGTGGTGGAGCTGTTACGCTGGTGAAGCTTACTCGCCCTGACTAAGCTTCAGCAGTCTGAAGCAGGAGGGGAATGGGAAATGAAGGAGCAGCAATAAGGAGTGGCCTAGGCATGTACTCCCGCCATGAATATCAAATGGCTTGGAGTGCATGCGGTGCAATCGGGTCGATTAGAACTTGTGCGTGGTACCTGGGTTGGGAATGCGGTATGATTCGGAGGAGCAGAGCTCAGGGCAGGTTGTTGAAGTTCGGTTCTGTTCGGTTGCTACAAAGGCAAGAATGGGATGGGAAGGCAGCAGGGCTGGGATGGAAAAGTTTTCTTCCAGAACTCCCCCAAGGTTGTTCGCCCGGTGGGTGACGGATTCCGTGATTGCTAGACCATGATGGAGATGGCGGGGATGTTCAGGAGCGATGTGGCACATCAGGATTGATCCGTTGAATTCTCCAGGGCTTTCCAGGAGCTACCCGAAGTCGCTTTCGGTAGAAAAAGGGTTTGCCCCAGCCAAGGCAGGGAGCCTGTCCCGTATTCCTCCATCAATCCAGTTTCTGTGGTGTCGGCGACACCCACCCGCACTTCTGGGATTGCCGCACTAGCAGCGCTAAGGAAAAGGGATGCCACGTGGGAATAGTGTGCAGACGTGGAGATTGCAACACAGCCTTGGCGTGAATAGGAAGAAGAGTTTTATCGAATCCGGCGTTGTGTCCAAGTTATGACAGAGCCCTACAAGTTATCTCATAATTAACTAAACGTGTATGAATAGTTTTGACAAGTCTCTCCTGTCACCCTAAAACGATTACCATGAGTAGGAGGTAATGTACGTGCTAATATCGCTCTCAAAGATGCAAGTTACAACAACAATAGAGGATTGCGGGAAGTCGTTTGTCATATGATATGAACAGCATTGGGTATCAGACTGAGAGAAGTGGATGAATGGGTAGAGGGAGAGTACAGATAGATATACCTAAGTATTCTATCCTCTAGGAGGTGACCCTATACAGTCTATGCAAACACAACAATTACACATGTTTGACACACCCCTAGACCGCATAGGGGAATCTCCTAAACAAACAGCTCAGGGCGGCACTACTAGTCCAACCTCTGAGACAAGGGTCTAAGAGACCAGTCAGAAGGAGTACAGACAAGGCGAGAACAAGACCAGGGCGGCACTACTAGTCCAGCCACTGGGAGAGGACACAAGTCCAGTCTGAGTATACATATAAAGTACAGTACCAAGTCAAGGTCCTAGCAAGTGAGAGGCTACAGGAACTAGTCCAAGCTGTACACGCTGATGATCTTTAGGGGCAAGCGCCTTCGTAAAGATATCAGCTGTGTTGGCACCTGAGGCCAAGTGTACTACGCGAGCCTGACGTCGCTGCTGTAGCTCACGCAGGAGGAAGTACCGCAGCTGAATGTGCTTCGCTCTGCCCTCGAGTCGAGGCTCCTGACACAGGAGGATCATGGCCCTGTTGTCAGCGAACAGGACCGGGGCAGAGCTAGGCCGCTCACCTAAGTCAGTGAGCAAGAAGGTCAGCCAGCGGAGCTCCTGTGCCGCCATGGCACCAGCGTAGATCTCAGCCTCACAGCTGGACTGGGCAACAGACGAGGAGCGGGTAGCTCTCCACGAGACGGCACCTTAGCCAAGGCTGAAGCAGTAGCCCTGGGTAGACCTGAGTGTCTCGGCGTCGTCTGCCCACGAAGCGTTTGTGTGTCCAGTAAGGACCACTGGCCTGCGTCCTCCTAGCACTAACCCCATGCCCGATGTACTAGCAAGATAACGCAGAACCCTCTTAGCGGCAGACCAGTGCTGCGGTCGGTGTGTGCCTGTGGCCACAAAGCGAGCCAGGATGCAGAGAGGGTATGCGAGATCTGGGCGAGTGCAAGTCATCATGTACATGAGGCAACCCACCAGCTCTGCGTAGGGGGCCGCTGGGCTCTACCGACTCCTCAGACACTGGAGCAGAGAAGTCTGTGGTCTACAGGCAGAGGGGTGGGCTGTGCAGAGGAGAACTGAAGGCTGAACCTCTGAAGGACCTGGCGCACCAAGTGTGACTGAGTCAGGGTGATGGTGCGCGCAGCTCTGTCCCTGGAGATCTGCAAGCCAAGGTAGCGGCGCAGTTCTCCAAGGTCAGTGCACGTGTGTCTCTTCAGCAGCTCTGCCTTCACGGAGGCCAGTGCGTCCCTGTCTGTTGTGGCAAAGACCAGGTCGTCGACGTAAACAAGAATGTAGAACGGAGTCTGGCCAGCACGAACGAAGAGTGAGGGGTCTGCGGAAGACGGAAAGAACCGCAGGTCAGCAAGCGTAGCACGGAGAGTGTCGTGCCACTCACGGGGAGCCTGGCGCAGGCCGTAGACGGGGCGCCGCAGGAGCCACTGGGTCCCAGGAGGGAAGGTGCCAGTAAAGCCCTGAGGGCGACGCAAGTAGACCTGCTCGTGTAGGCTGCCCTGAAGGAAGGCAGTGGAGAAGTCGAGGGAGTGAAGCTCGTAGTCACGCTGAGCAGCTAGGTGTAACAGAACCCGAAGAGTAGTCATCTTCGGGGTCGGAGCGAAGGTCTGGAAGAAGTCCACCCCCTCACGCTGACTGAAGCCTCTAGCCACATAGCGCGCCTTGAACACAGGCGGCTCTCCAGGAGGGCGCTTCACCTTGAAGAGCCAGCGGCCATCGACTACGTTCACCCCAGGGGGGGAACTGCGTCGACGAAGGTGCCGGTGGATCTCCAAGATGCCATCTCCTGCTCCATGGCAGCTATCCACTGCGAGGCCCAGGGTCCCGAAGTCGCCTCAGCGTAAGTGCGAGGGTCGGGAATGTCGAAAAGCGTCTGGGTCACCCTCAGGGACTAGCAGCATGGAACAGAGATGGGGAGCAGCCTCGGACAGGAAAGCAAGCTCGAACTGGCGGTCCTCCAGGACGTCACTGCCAAGGGCAGGAGCACCCCCGACAGACGGAGGACAGGCAGGGTCAGAGACCAGAGCTGTGGCGTAGTCAAGCGGCGGGTAGAGGCGAAGTCAGCGACCGCAGCGACAAGAGCGTCAAGGCACGAGACCGGAACAGACGGGTCGGTAACGAGAGAGGCAAGGACCCGAGGAACAAGAGGACGAGCGGCACGAAGGTAGTCAGACAGCGGGGGGGGTGCAACAACAAGGAGGACGGAGGAGGCGACGGCAGAAGGGGAGGACGAGACGCGTGGGAACGAAGCAACATAGGGTGGGAGCGCAAGACAGGCGAGGCAGGACGAGCACGGAGGGACGGTGAGACCAGACGTGCGACGGAGGAGTCGGGTCAGGGAGACAAGGGGAGGGGACACAGGAGGGGAACGAGGGGGAAGACGGCCGGGGACGAGTCCGGCGGAGGGAAACACAGGGCCGTAGACGGGAAGAGGAGGAGACGGTCGGAGAGGAACAGACGCAGGGTCGGGGGACGGAAAGGCCGACAGGCGAAGGGCTGACACCGGCGGGGACTGCTGCTGCGGCGGCACAACGGCGACACCTGGACCGCAAGCTGCTCCTCGGCCTACCACCGGCACACTCCACACCAGCACCCCCAGAGGGACCACCCCCAGGGCGACCGGGACGAGCACCCCAGAGTCAGCGAACGGGTGCTCGACGGCGGCGCGGCGGCGGGGCAGCGACAACGACGGCTGCAGCGGCGGCAGAGGCGGTGAGGAGGGGACTGGGGAGGGACGCCGGGGGAGGGCGGCCGGCGAGGACTGGCGCAGCAGGGCCACCAGAGTCAGAAGACTCCTCAACCGGGTCCACCGACGGAAGGGGGGTGACGTGGGACACACCAGAGGGGGCAGGACGGGGGAGGAGGAGGAGGGGCAGGGACTACCGGGGAAGGAGTGACCAGGAACAGGGGGGGGTAACCGGGGGACCGCGGTGGGGGAAGCGACCGGTAGTAGGAGACGGACTCGTCAAAGGTGACGTCGCGAGAGTGAAAGAAGCGGTGAGACGGCGGGTGGTAAAAGTGCCAGTCGGACGCGTCAAGGGGAAAACCGAGGAAGACGCAGGGAAGGGTGCGGGCAGTGAGCTTGTCCGTGCCGGAGGCACGGACGTGAGCAAGGCCAGCCCCAGACGTGGAACGCAGACGCGTCACCAGGAGACCCAGTCCAAAGACGGGTCGGCGAAACCTGCGGCTGCTGGGGGTGCGGCCACAAGTTAAGCTGGTGAGAAGCGTAGCGCACAGCGAACGGCCACAGAAAATGGGGTGCACCGGCATGGATCATGGAGGTGCGAGCCACCTCCATGACCAAACCGATGCGTCGCTCAGCGACCCCATTTTGCTGTGGGGAGTCCGGTAGGGTGAACGTCTGGGTGATGCCCTCCGCACGACAAAAGCGACCAAGGACACCTGAGGCAAACTCGCCACCACGGTCTGGAGTGAAGACGCAAGACAGGGAGACCGCGGTGGACACGCGCAGAGACAAGCCAGGGGATGAGAGCGCCAGGCACGTCGGGCCTTGCGCTCCAGGGGAAAGACTGTGGTGTAACGAGTGAAGTCGTCGACAAGCACAAGGAAGTAGCGCTCTCGACGCGGCCCAGGGACGGGGGCGGGGCCCCAGACGTCCAGGTGCAGGGTCTGCAGCGGCGCGGCGGTAGGGGGAAACGAGGAGGAGTGAGGGGCACGGCGAAGCCGACCCTCGACACAAGGCGTGCAAGGTGGGGCTGGGGAGGAGGGAAACGCGGGGAGAGAACCTGGGAGACCAAGGACAAGACCGTGCTGGGACATGTGACGCAGACGCGGGAGCGCAGGGTGACCTAGGCGGTGGTGCCAAAGGAGAGTCGGGTGAGTGAGGGACCGACAGGAGCAGGCAGCAGCAACCTGGGTGAGCGCTCCAGCCGGGGGGGGTCACGGTGTCCAGAGTGAACAGGCCGGACACCGGGTCCCGGGGGGAACGTGGACAGGGGGGCACCAGTGGCGGCCTCGGTACAGACAGCATACCGCTCGTGACCAGGGAACGTAGTGGTGACGCCAAGGTCCTGGAGGCAGCCGACACCAACTAGGTTCCTGGAGAACGAGGGGATATGCAGACCTGTGAGAGTGCCCGAAGGAACCGCCGGACAGGGAAGGGTGGTGGAACTGCGGGCGACTACCGGACCGCCGG